AATAGCTTGACTCCCTCTTCTTTGGGGCAGCCCCTGAGATACTGGAAGACTGCTATCATGTCCCCCCTGGTCCTTCTCTTCATTAAACTAGACATGCCCAATTCCTGCAACCGTTCTGTATATGTTTTAGCCTCCAGTCTCCTGATCGTCTTTGTTGCTCTTCTCTGCACTCTTTCTAGAGTCTCAACATCTTTTTTACATTGCGGTGACCAAAACTGGATGCAGTATTCCAAGGGTGGCCTCACCAAGGCCTTGTAAAGTGGTATTAACACTTCACGTGATCTTGATTCTATCCCATTGGCAGTGTTCCCCCAGTCATATTTTACAACGTTTTTGCTGTTTTACCATTGGTTTGCTTAACGACCCTGAATTTACTTGCGGCCACCGCAAAAGTGGTTGTAATATTGGGCTGGACACGTGACTGACTTATTTTACAGCGGTTACGGCATATGGCCATCATGGACAGACTCCGTTACGGTCATATGTCGAGGACTATGGTAAATGAGATCAAAATTTTGTTTTTTGTCACGATCCCAGTCACTTTTGGAAGTGTAACTTCCAGGGTGCTACTCAAAAGGCTAGCCCAGGGATATGTGGCCGTGCAATCGCCAAGTCTTTATCCCTCAGAGTTGAGAAAAAAAAACCAGAAGTCTGATCTGTGGGATGAACATATGCAATAGTGTTCCCCCCCCATCTGATATATTTCCCATTAGCCTCTGCCCTCGGGGCAGATGGAAGTTATTCTTCCAATAAATATTCGTAAGATTTGGCTTACTCATCTTCCTTGTTTGGTCCTCCCTTCTTGCAAAAAAACAAAAACAAAACTAACCTCATAAAACTTCCAAACCACATTTCAGCCAAATGGAGGTTTCTTACAGGCCCCAAGGAAATAACATCCTTCGCATTCCATGGCTTATTACCTTTCCTCTGACATCACAGTTGCCAGCATGCTGTAGCAGATTTGCTTTGCCCAGCACACTTAAGACAGTTCAGTGAAAGACCTGGCAGATGCATTGGGCATGAGCTTGTCTAAGCTTGGTTTGGGTTAACCTGGGTTACTTTTTCGTGCCTTAATGTCAAACGTGACCTGACTCGGTCATCTTACCATTCAATGTATTTGGGGACCACAGAAAAAGATCTCTTCTGATAATCAGGTGAAGTGCATTGTGTGAGCCCAGCCATGCGAACGGCCTGGCGTTTAACATCCTGTAAGTAATATTTTAAAAAGAAAGGTTGCAAACCTTCCAAATAAAAAAGATAACCTAATTTCTCCTCCCCCCCCAATCCTGTGTCTTTCAGGCATTTTTATGAAGACCAAGTCCTCAAATAGATACCCAACAAGGAGTATGGTGTGCATGTCGGAGTAATAAAACCAGGTTGATTTTACAGGTAAGTAGAACCTGACAGAGCCATATGCCAATCTGAATGAACACAAAATGATTATTTTTTCCCCATGATCAGAACAGTCCAGCAAAGAGAGATAGGGTAAGAATGAGAACAGCTTATCGCAGCATCAGCTAGTTTGTTTCCTAGAAACAGGAAGTCCTCAACTTATAACCACAATTGATCCCAAAATTTCTGTTGTTGCTAAGCGAGATGGTTGTTAAGTCAATTTTTGCCCCATTTTATGACCCTCCCTGCCACCGTTGTTAAGGAAATCACTGCAGTTGTTAAGTTAGTAACACGGTTGTTAAGTGAATCTGGTTTCCCCGTTCACTTTGCTTGTCAGAACGGACGACTGCAATGGTCGTAAGTGTGAAAAAAGGTTGTAAGTCACTTTTTTCAGTGCCGTTGCAACTTCGAATGGTCACTAATGGTTGTACGTCGAGGACTACCTGCATTTCTTCGGGATCCGTGCATTCTTGACCTCAACTTTGCTTACTTGACCACATGCCCTTCTTAAACTCCTCATTTCCAAGTTTTATTTTTTATTATTATTATTATTATTATTATAATAATAATAATAATAATAATAATAATAATAATAAAGTTGGAAGGGAGCTTGGAGGTCATCGAGTCCAACCCCCTGCTCAGGCAGGACACCATATACCATTTCGGACAAATGGCTGTCCAGTCTCTTCTTAAAAACTTCCAGTGTTGGAGCATTCACAACTTCTGGAGGCAGGTTGTTCCACTGGTTAATTAAATGCATTTAAATGCATTATTTAAATTAAATGCATTATTCCATTTGAATCCTGCGTTTATTTTATACAGTTCAATGAGCCTGCCTTCTATCTTTCCCCACAACAACGACCCTGCCAGGTAGGTTGGACTGAAATAAAGTTACTGGATTTGATGTCTAAGGCAGGGACTAGAATTCACAGTCTCCTAGTCTGGAGTCCAGCACCGTCATCATCACCCTAAACCGGCTTTTGCAAGGCATTTAATTTCTTTCTGTGTTTTCTCCAAGATATCAAATTCTCACCTTCTTATTAAGTGGGCAGAAGCACACATTGATACATTCCCATTTTTGCTTCCTTTCATTTCCCGCATTCCCGCATTCCTTTTTGTGGGAAACACTTAAAGTACCCATTACCTTTCTGTCAACGTGCGTGAATCTGAAAATGGCTTCATTTATCTATAGATGTTCTACCAGATTATTTACTTGCTCTAATTTGTTTTCTTCGCCATTATGTGTAACTAGCATTTGTGCATTTCCTTAATGCATCATGCAGTAGTAATATTCACTGCAATTTATGCAGGATTTTAGCTAACAATAGGACATTGCCTGCATACAAAGGCACAGATGCATTCATGTCTTCAGCACACCTCAGCATCACAACAAGCATTCCTTATACTTTTAACAAGAAGTATATTAAACAGTGAGGGAGACCGTCCACATTCTTATTTTCCAACCTGATCATTATTGAAGTATTCAGCAAGCCTTCCATTTATTCTCATTTTTGCATTGTTTCCACGTTACAAGGCTCTTATTTACATTCTGTAAACAAGCTGCGGCTTCTTATTCATGCAAAGTTTACCTAATTCAAGGCGGCACATTTTATCATATGCTTTTTTTAAATAAACAAATTTACAGTGACCTACTTCACATTTACATATTCCTGAAAAAAAAACCCAACAATCTGTACTTCTTGCTTAGCAACAGAAATGTTGGGCTCAATTTGCTGTAAGTCAAGGACTGTATTGGAGTGGGCAGCCCTAACAAATTTAATGAAATCAATAAATTGCTCATTCATAATTTTTGACGTTCTCATCTACCTTTTCTCTGCAGCTCGGAAGAAGAAAATGGTGGCAAAGACTACATTTTACCCTTTGTTGGGACTTTTGAATTAAGACTTTTTTCCCCCCTTTTTTTGCTGCAGTTCATAATGTGGGAATATCACAGGGAACCAGTAGAACGTATACGTGAGCTTTGACACGTGGGTTTACGAGTTTATTTGCCACCCACCGAAGTCTAGCAAAGTTATTCCTTAAAATAAAGCCACGGTGTTGCCGAGTCGGCGGTATTTCATCTTCTTGAGAAACTTTGCTCCCTCGAATTAATCGTTTTTGCTGATCCCTGTGCCATAACAACATTTAAATGTTTAGGGTTTTAAAAATAGGCTCGTTCATGGGGGCAAAATGAAACTTTGCTCATTTGAAGCCACTTTTGAAAAAGAAGTCGTTGGTATACTATAAAGCTTTCCGATGCCTCTGCCTTTTAGGGGGAAATCTGAAGAGGCTACCCAGCTGGATCCCAGGCAGAACAAAATCCTGGGATGCGGGACAGGGTGGATGGGTTGGAAGAGGCGGTGGTGACGCTTGGCAAGGCCGTCCATCATCTTGAGGAAAGCCAGAGAGGCAGGAAACCAGATGGTGGTGGTGCTCCCCTGGGAAAGCATCACTAGTTCCCGTGGTGGTGTCACGACAGACAAACACGTCCCATCTGAAACAAATGGAGGAGAGCATCTCTGGGACAAAAAGATTGCTTTCCCCTGAGCAGAAAATCCCGCAGCTTTGTGATGGTTTTGGACTCCTTTGGCTCTTGACAACAGGCATGGCATGGTACCTCATGCTTACCTTTTATTTTCAATGAACAGGGCTTTTATCCCACCTTTATTACATTATCAATAACTCCAGACAGTGAGCGTATCTGATATTGATACTCCTCCATTGATCACAACGGGGACCAGACTTTCTGTTGCTAAGCAACACGGTTTTTAAGCGAGCCACGCCTGATTTTACAATCTTTTGCCACGGTTATTAAGTGAATCAAGCTGTCATTAAGCGAATCCTGCTTCCTGCATTGATCTGCTTGTCAGAAACAGGCTGGGAAGGTCACAGGGAGTGATCCCATGACCCAGGGACACTGCAGCCATCATAAATGCACGATGGGGGCTAAGCCACCTAATTTTGATCAAATACCAGCGGGATGCTGGTGATAATTGTAAGTGCAAAGGCCCATCATAAGTCCCTTTTTTCAGCACCATTGTAACTTTGGTCGCTATACAAATGGTTGTAAGTTAAAGACTACCTGTATTCCTTCCTTCCTCCCTCTTCCTATTTTCCCCTATTTTCTTCCTCCTATTTCCAACAGCCGTATGAAGTGGGTTGGGCCGAGAGAGAATGAGTGGCCCAAAGTCACCCAGCTGGCTTTCGTGCCTCAGGCCGGACTAGAACTCACAGCCTCTCCTAGTTTCCGACCCGGTGCCTTAAATATTAGACCTCAGTTTAGTTGTAAGTTGAAGTTAAATTGAAAAGAAAACGAGAACGAGTGTCCGTCGGAGGAGGGTTCCAGATTGAAGCCCCCGAGACCTGGAAGTCTTGGATGTCATGCCAAACCATACTTTTGTTATAAATTGTGGTTTCTTGAATCATCCCCAATGGCTACCTTTGCATGTAAGAATCAGCTAAAGCCTTCAGTCTTTTTTCTTTTTTTAATGAATCAATTAAAAGGGAAAAAAAACAATTCGTGGTTTGGGCGAAGGGAAGAAAACGCATAAGCCTGACGCCATCCTCTTCTTCCCTCTAGGCAGACACTGCCTCCTGCTGAAACCGCCATGAGCAGCACACTCTCCCCTACAGATTACGACAGCTTGGAAATCCAGCAACAGTACAATGATATCAATAACCGCTGGGAGGTGGCCGATGAGGACTGGGACAACGAAAACAGCTCAGCCCGGCTTTTTGAGCGCTCCCGTATCAAGGCTTTGGCAGGTAAGGGACGGGCGGGGCCAGCTGTTTTCTTCTCTCTACGCATCCTTTTTCACGGTAAAGGCATAACAAAATAACAAGGTTGGAAGGGGCCTCAGAGGTCTTCTAGTCCAACCCTTGCTCAGGCAGAAACCCTCTACCATTTCAGACAAATGGTAGTCCAGTCTCATCTTAAAAATCTCCAGTGTGGGAGCACCCACAACTTCTGGGGGCAGGTTGTTCCACTGGTTAATTGTTCTCACTGTCAGGAAGTTTCTCCTTAGTTCCAGGTTGCTTCTCTCCTTGATGAGTTTCCATCCATTAACTTCTTTTCCTGCCTTCAAGTGCTTTAGAAAATAGGCTAACCTAACCCTAACCCTCTTTGAAAAAGGTCTTCTGCAGTCACGACATAAGCCTAAGACTGAAAATCAGGCTTGTCAGATGCTATGTTTTTTTCTGTCCTGCTCTATGGAGTAGAGAGCTGGTCTCTGACAGAAGACCACCTAAAGAGACTAGAAGCATTTGAAACGTGGATTTACAGGCGGCTGTTACGTAGAAGCTGGGTTGACAAGTTCAGAAATGAGGAGGTGATAAGCCTCCTGGGAAAGCCCAGGGAAACCATCCAAACAATTAAAAAACAAAAATTAGAATATTTTGGACACGTGATGCGACACCCAGAAAAATACGGCATACTCCATTTAATCCTCCAGGGAAAGATGGAAGGCAAACGAGGTCCAGGCAGAAGAAGAACCTCGTGGCTTCAAAATCTAAGGGACTGCTTTGGATAAAACTCAGCAGCACTTTTTCGTGCGGCTGCGGATAAAAACAGGGTCGCCAACATGATCGCCAACATCCGATAACGGATATGGCACAAGAAGAAGAAGAAGAAGAACCCTCTTTGTGGCAGCCCCTTAGATATTGGAATCCTATCTATCATATCACCACGAGTCCTTCTTTTCACTAGACTGGACATACCCAATTGCAGCAGCCGTTCTTTGTATGTTTTAGCCTCCCGTCTCCTAATCATCTTGGTTGCTCTTCTCTGCTCTCTTTCTAGAATCTCAACATCTTTTTTATATCATGGCGACAAATACTGGATGTAATATTCCAAGTGTGGCCTTAACCAAGGCATTATAAAGTGGTACTAACACTTCACGTGGATCTTGATTCCATCCCTCTGTTAATGCAGCCTAGGACTGTACGCCTTGGAGCATGTGCAGAGTGTGTGGCCTTTCTGCCCCCAGGACTAATCCCTGACTTTGTAGGCTTGGTATTTTAAAAGAAATTGATTTGGGAAAGTTTCAGGGGATGAACGCATGCTTTGCATTCCAGAAGGGTTCATTGCATTAAGCAATTTTCTGCACACTCAGCCAGCTGTGGCTTACTCATTAGCCGTGACTCTGTTTCTCCATCCAACTTTGTATTATCCACGCCAGGCCCGCGTTGCACACTAAACCGTGGCGCTTTTGTTGGAAGAGACAATCCGGAGCTAGATGGAGAAATAGATGAATGACGAAACCATACTGTGCTTGGCTGAATTCAACCAACATGCTAAGCTTAAAACCCAAATCTCTGTTACAGCTTAACATTTAATTTCTGGATTTGCTCAGCATACTTAATGTGGTTGCTGAATTACCCCATTTTCTGGTTTGTACCCTATGGTTAGCCATCAACTAACCAAACAGAATGGGTTCATACAACACGCCAAACCACAGAAGGCAACCCAGGTTGAAAGTAAGCCAGTTGAGCTTGTTTTGTGAATGCAGCTTGTTAGTAGCCCAGGTGTACAACCACAATTGAGCCTGTTGCTAAGTGAGACATTTGCTAAGTGAGCTTTGCTCCATTTTACAATTATTTTTTTTTGCCACAGTTCTTAAGTGAATCACTGCAGTTGTTAAGTTAGCAACACAGTCGTTAAGTGATTCTGGCTTCCCCATGGATTTTGCTTGTCACAAAAGGGGATCGCATGATCCCGGGACGCTGCAACCGTCATAAATATGAGTCGGCTGCCAAGCGTCTGAATTTGGATCACGTGACCACGGAGATGCCACAACGGTCGTAAGTGTGAAAAATGGTGATAAGTCACTTTTTCCAGTGCCGTTGTAACTTGTAATTCGAGGTCTACCTGTGTTAAGTGAGCCCAACCTGTGGGGCCCACTTGACTTTCCTGGATCCATCTGCAGTTCTCTTTC